ATGCAAGCCTCCAAAAGGTTGAGATGGAGTGGGAAAAAAAATTGTGGCAAGAGATATTCCAGTGCTAGTATTTAGTCGTGCATCCACAATACACTAAAATCATAAATGATTATTAGCATATTTATAATCGAAATTCTAAAAAATTAGGAACTGCAGTTGCATGCCTTCAATTGAATGGAGAACCTCATAGAAAATAATTTATCTAAATTAACTCGCACTAAATCCAGACCAAAAACCTTTCAGAACAAGATAAATCTAGCTATATTTTAAGAAATTCCATAGACACAATTTGAATAATTTATGAATACTTTATGAATAATTCCATAGACGCAATTTACATTTATGAATAATTTAACATCTCATTTATGAATACTTCATCACAATAATTTCAATATCTCATTTATGAATACTTCATGACAATCATTTGAATATCTCGTGTATGAATACTTCATCACAATCATTTGACTACAGAACGGGATAAAAATAAGCAAGCGACTTCAGTACCTTTCTTTGTATCTGCAATTCCAAGAAGCTCAACAAGATCAACATGATTTTTGAGTTTTGGCTCCAACCTTTTCTCCCCCCATAAGCGGATTATAACATTATTTGCCTACAAAAGTAATAAAAATCATAGGAAGACATGTGCCAACAAAAATTTAGAATTTAAATGACATGTGATTCACATACCTCATCATCACTCACTGGAACAGAATCAGGCACATGGTTTCCTATTATTTCCAATTTTGCATATAATGCAACTTGACCCTCCTGAGCTTCTGCATCCTTTCTGGCTGTCAATTGCTTATTCTTCTCAGTACTCAAAAGCACTACTTTTAGCAATTCATACCCTCCATCCAAAACATATGTCATTCTATTGAAGATTACTTAATAATTCCTACTTAACATTTCCATCTCCATGAAGCATTCAAGCTGGAGGTTGATGACAAAATTGAAGAACCATAAGAAAGGAATGTTAAATTTAACAGGAACATAGCAATCAAAAATTAGGATTTTAGCAAGTTGTTATTAACGTATACTTCAAATTTACTAGCTTGAGTTCTTTATCAATGTTTAATTGAGTCCATAATCCTCAATTTCTAGGATCAATTGATGATGCACAAAAATATATGATTGCAAGGCATGGTTGTATACTCAAAGGCACGGGGTGGACTAGATGAATATTAGAAGTTGATATCATTAGGATTTTTATTGTATTTACAACTCTTCCATACTTTCAGTTATTTGGCAAGTTTGAAGGTTTGTATTAGTTTCCAGAGCCCTATTAATGAAATTTCAAAGCAACTCCAATGTATTTAGAGTTTATTAAGTATTACCTTAGGATTTGCCATTCTGATTCAACCTCAACTTCATTGAGACTATAAACATTTTCTAAAAATTTACTCTTGTTCACTTAATGACTTTATTGGAAATGCAATTGTTAGTTACCAGAGGTGAGCATAATACATTAAAGCCATATTCTAGTCAAGGATTTGATTTAGTTAGATGATGCCAATCAAATATGGACCCAAAATGACATTAACATAAACACTAGGTTTTTATCTTAATTTCCCCCATGCAAAGGTCGGGCTCATTCAAGAATTTGCTAGAAAAATAGTTTGGAATTAAAACTTTCAAGTGGCTTTGTGCTACTCTTCCTTTTTTCTAGCCTAGACTTCCTTAGAATATTTATTAGTTTCCTTAACTTCCTAGGAAAACTCGACCTTTGCCATAGTTGTATGGAGAATATAGAACTTGATAAGGTCAGGAATGGCAACACCAATGATTGATGGTAAAAATGTAAAAGCCCATAGAAACAATATAATGCAATTAGATTGTTGAGATGTATAACAAATAATTTAAACAGAAGAAAAAATGAAAAATAATAAAATGAACAGTATGGAATTTTGAACCATTTGAAACTCCCTACCTTCCAAACCTTTTTTACAATCTATACAAAAACCTCTAAAACCCATTAAAATGTAGCAAATAGAAAATCAAGGCAGCAAACCATGTAATTTATGAAGTGTCACTTCAAAAACCCCCATGCACCAGAGGGGAAAGCACTTAGATTGAAAAAATAATCATATGCAAAACTAAAAACATGGCATTTTTCTTGTCAACTAGAATATTCTAGTGAATTATTTACTGAACATTGACAAGCTCTTCAGTTAAAACCATTTGTGTGAACTAGGAACTTCCACACTGTTCATTCATTGGTAACTTTAAAAACCAAGGAAGGAAAAAATCCCTTAGCATTGATTGTCCCACCAACTTTAGCAACAACGAAGCTTTCGGAATAAGGGGAACATCCAAATGGGAGAACTATACAAATATGAGACATTTTGCCATGGAGTTAGACTTCAAATGCTTCTTGACTTCCTAGAATAGAATCTTTCTCAAAAGTTTCAATTACTCAAATCAAAATCCTACTGGGATAATTTATATTCAACAAAGATAATGAGCTCCTCACTTAGAACTGATTGTTTCAGCAGCAAAACTTCTATTCCATTCACTCATCAACAAAATTAAAAATAATAGAAAAATGGATAAATGCTCCATGCTGATAGTTCCATTTGATAGCACCAAAGTTTTTCAAGGAATGAATAGAAACGGTTTCATACAAACATGTGAGAGAGAGAGAGAGAGAGGTGGATACCTAGTAGTCCATCTAGAGTTTTTGCAAGAATTAGTGTGGTCGTAGTGGACATAGACGTTCCTCTTCTGACTGGTTTTCCATCAGATGTGCAATTAACCATGCGCTCCCTGCTCTGATAGGAAAGGGAGTGTAGCTATCTAGATTCAAACTCTTACAACCAACAAGAGAAGCTGGCCTTCGAGTCGTGCCATTCTAGGCATTTCCGTACTACTCTTTCCTTGGCTAAAATATTAGCTATACAAAGACACAAAACAAAAGGGAATAAAACGGGATACAGAGACGGAAGAGAAGGAAGCACGCCGCATAGAGAGAAGAAAGGCTAGGAGGCCGTTTAGATTTGAATTGAAAGGGAGAGAGACGAGAACGGCGATTTGCAGAGGGTGGAGATTCGTATTTCAGTCCGCCACTCCCCATGCCCCTCTTTGTCTCTCTCTCTCTTTTACATTTTTTTAACTCATTATAACAAATAATTTTTTTTTCTTCAGAGTTTTATCTTTAATTTCATATTAACCAAATATAACATAAGATATTAAATAAAATTTTATTCTATTTATTATTTATTTAATAAAATGTGTAATAAATATTCTTTAATTTAAATAAATTTATTTAATTTTATCTTATAACTTTATACTTTATCCACCTATCCGGATGCCTTTAGTTAAAACTGAAGGAGAAAAATCAAATTACACAAATTGGATGAGTTGAGGAACCTTTCAAGGACTTAATCCAACCGGAGGAGCATTGGGTAATTTTACCCCCAAAAGATTGGGGAGAATCCATCTTCCCGCCATCTAATTTCCCCATAAATATTTTGTCCTACCTCATTGATCTCTCTCGTCGAATCGTCAAATCTTAAGACGTTCCATTTCCTGTCTACTTTTCTAGGGATTTTCTTGTTCTGGGGCTTCAGTCCCCTCACTAGCTCCCAATACCTTATTGATTATTGGATTAGGGTTTCGACTTGACAACTCCAATTCATCTAATTTGTTGCTAGAAACAGTTTTTCCGCAATGCCGTCCTTGAGCTGGAGGCACCAAACCCTTATTCAAGCTCTATTATCTCGTGGTCCGCTCAAGGAGCAGGAGTTCCATTCCATCTTTTCTGGCGTTACGGGCAAAAACCCAGGTCACATTTTTTCCTTTTCGGTCGTCATTTGCTCATATTTTTATCCTTGTATGTGCAAGTTTTCATTGTACTTCATGCTACTTCACATGTGTGTGCATTTACGCGTATGATTTGCATAATCCGTAGTTGAATTTTATCCCCCATATTTGATTATGAAGTATTTTTTTAAATTTTTTATTTTTTTTAATTCTGGAAAGAGATTATGAAGTTGTTAATAACAGGGGTTTTTTGGCTGTGAGAGTGGAAGTTTGAAAAGTGTCATTGTTGTTTATTGTTATTTTTAGCATCACTTTGTGGTGATTTCTCATCTTTTATCCAATTGTAACGTAAAGCTACACACGTGTGTGCATTTACGCGTATGATTTGCGTAATCCGTAGCTGTATTTTATCCCCTATAGTTGATTATGAAGTATTTTTTTTTTAATTCTGGAAAGAGATTATGAAGTAGTTAATAACACGAGTTTTTGGCTGCGAGAGTGGAAGTTTGAAAAGTGTGATTCTTGTTTATTGTATTTTTAACATCACTTTGTAGTGATTTCTCATCTTTTATCCAATTGTAATGTAAAGCTCCAGGTTTAGAACAAAATGTTAATGGGTATATGCTTTTCTACTCTAAGATTATAGGTTACCCAACTCAGCCACTGCTTGAATATTTTAAAACATTGGCCATATGTTTATCTTCTGTTTGTTCGCTGTTCCAGTGAGTGGTGAAGTAAATTAAGAGCATTAGAATTTTTCTCTTTTAACTACACCAGAGATTTTGGATAGTAGATGTCCCTGTAATTGTTGCTGTCTTTAACTAGCACTAGCATAATCTAATGATTTGCTTGTGTTTCACATTTCTGGCATATTGAAATGTGAAGTATATAGTTTTGGATCAAAATGCATTTGGATATGTCTTTCAACCATCAGGTTATTGGTCACCAACTGAGCAGCATTGCTTGAAATTTCTGAATACTACCCATAATTTTTGCCTTATGTGTGCTTTTATATTTTAAATTTCTTTTTTTTTTTCCCTTAAATTTGCAGGGGTTCCATTTTAATTCTTTGAGGACACGTCCTCAATTATTTGACAGTCCATTTTTGAGTCCAAGCAACAACCATTGTATCTAATTGAAGCATAAAGAAGACAAAAGAAAACAAATTAAATATTTCAAGCCTTCCATGGATTTCCTTAAATTTGGTTTCTTTAATATGTTATTGTTTTTGTGCACTGAAAATGTTTGGTTTACTTGTGGGGATTATTTTATAACCACTCCCAAGTACTTGACTATGGCTGTTGTATTTGGCATAGGCACCCATCAAAAGCTGTTCAATGATTATCTTCTAATGATAAACAAGGAACTTGCCTTTGTTCAATTTGAGCTGCGGGCCTGTAGAAACCAATATGATGGCAAGGTGTATTATGGTGTGGTGAACAATGTTGCAGATGAACAGTCCAAGCTTGGAACCAAGTATACAGTTCCTCAAATTGCTTTTTATAAGGGCATTGTAAGTTCTGATGCATTTTTTCTTTCTTTTGTTAGAAAGGATTATGATGCACCTTTATATCTTATTGAAAAGTATTGAATGTCAATCAATTAGTAAAACTATTCTTCTACTACTTCATTGACTGCTAATAGGGCCGTTATTGTATATTCATTGGTCTTTGTATAATTATATTACTTAAAGCATGTATGGATAAGGATAAGAAGATTGATCTTAGTATGGTAATGGTGGATGGAGAAAAAGTTCAGTGAAGGCATCTTAAATTTCTGAAATAAACTTATTGGGAAAGGAATCACACATTTTATTTTAATTTACATCTATTGTAAGTGGACATCAACTAAACTGTTTATCCTCAAAAGTCATGCAACTTTAAAGGGTACTGTGAAGTTGAATATAGAGATATCAACATGACCAAAGCCTATATCAGCTACCAATTTGAACCTTATAAAGCAGTTCCTTTCTGGTTTAATTCTAAGACATTTGAAATTGCTTATATGTGGTCATACTATATCTGGAGTTTGTCTATTTCCCATGAATCTCCTTTCATTAGAATTCTCTTTTTGTGGATAAACTTAGCAGTAGCAGGCTGTCTGTTGCTCTCTTTTTTTGAATGGAGATCGGTGAAAGAAAATTGATCTTCTAAAGAAATGGATGTTTTAAGACTTTTTTTACTTTCTATTTCATTCTATTAATTAATTATGTTGTGCTTTCTTTGAATTTAAATCTTGGAACTATTAGCCTCTCTGTTGCCTGAAAATGTTGTTCATGTGCTAATTGCTGGAAGAAGCTTTACTTTTTTTCCAGCTTCAGCATTAATTCCTTATAGGCTTGTTTTGATAGTATTCCTATCTATCTACCCTCTCCATGTTGGAGACTTCCTCTGCATTCTTCACATTGAACAACACAGGAGCAGTAATTATTGGTAGAAGGGTTTTTTTTTCTTTTTTGGTGTACTGTGGGCTCCGTTCTGTGTCTTTTCTGCATCACTATCTGTCTAACTTTCACAGTTAGAAATATATCTAGACATCAGCTGCTTTGACAGAAAGCATGTTGCTGAACATATTGGGGTTATAGTGCTTGGTAGATACTGTGGATATTTACTTGTTTAGGACCAGATTCTTTGTTACACTGGTTAATTAAAATTGTGTACAGTATTTAGAATAGGTGGAGTGTGAACAGGTCTAGCAGAGAGTGTTTTTTTTTTTTTTTTTTTGGAATAGTGTATACTGGCAATGCTAGTCTCTCTCTCTCTCAAATCATGTGCATGCAGATGCTGTTTATAAATATAAAATTTTGTGCTGGATGGGGTCGATTTCTTTTCTTGGTGTGTTGTTGAAGCTCGGATTTTTCTAAACATGCAAAGCACTAGTACTGGATGCGTGCCTGTTTAAAAGAATATCAGATGTGTTAGATATTACGCTTAGATGTTAAAACAATAGATAATTTCTTTCCAAATATTGTCACTTAATAATCTCCAACTGATTTTAATAACAGGATGGTTGTGTTTGATAATTTTTCCTGTTTACAAAAAAGAAAAAAAGAGAAAAGAGGAGAACAATAATTTTTGTTTACATTCAAGGAACAAGAAATTGGAAATTTTGTCTGCGACAAAGAGAATGGGAATGATGGCGCTTTTTCAAATTAAATTCAAGCAGAAAGTTTTTGTTTTCAAAAGTTCATAAATTTTGCAACAAGTTCCAAATATTTCTAAGTTTTAAATAATTTGGAAGGTAACATGAGCAGAATATTGAAAACATAAACAGAAAAAGCATGAACTTTATCAAACAAGCCTGGCAAATTTGCTAATCCATCTATAAGAAAAGAAAAGGGTGGCTAAAAAGTTTACACCTCTGCCAAAAGACCAATAACACAGTCATTATCTGGAGGGATGCTTGATAGAAACCCTTATGACTAAAATTAGGTTCCAAATATAGAATGAGGCCAATTGTATTCAGTTTGTAATCCTATATACATGGGATCCAACTTCTGATCTCACAGTCATGATTCTGCTTCTGACCTGCAGAACAATCCACTCAGACTCTTATTCCATTCATTTGTGGAATGCTCTGCCACTAGTTCCTTAGAGAAAGTATACCATGCAGTGGAAGAAAACCTTTTAATCATAATGTTATAAGCTCATGCACTGGAAAAGTTATTAGTTGCATTCCACCTCATATGACAGCTTAAAGCATGCACTAGAAATAATGTCATAATCAGTGCATAAACTAACATTGCCATCCTCTTTCTCGTGGCATAATGCATTACTAGAGGATTGTTCCATTTGGAAGATCATCATCTAACTATGTTATTTACAATTTTTATAATAACAACCCAAGAATAAAATCAAACACTAAATTTCATATTTGTGGGAAAGATTCCAACCACTTCTAAACTTGGTTGACTGGAAATAGGCCCTTCTGATTTGGGATAGCTCATAACTATGTCCTCTTTGCTGGGATCACATTCAGAATTTTGCAGATTTCTTAGTTCATTTAAAATCATTGGATTGAGCTGATGACTATTTGCAAGCTTGTCTTTAAGAGGTCCTGCTGGAGAATTTTTAGGATGTCATTTAGGATTCACACAATCCATAACATAACCCAATCTTTGAAATTTGATTTTTATGGTGAATATCAGCAGTAAGCTTATACTCTTTTCTCATGGAATTTTTGCTTAATTATGCAAATCATAAATATGTTGAGCAAAGGATTTGGTAGAATACGAAGGATGGCCATTGAGGGGCAATGGAATAAGATCGATAGGATGACAAGGGTTGACCATACACAATCTAGAAAGGACTTTTACCAAATAATGCAATACCAACAGGGGATTACTGAATCAACATGGCATTCAATCTCTTGGTTCCAAAATCAAGAGAAAATATTCAAAAGTTCATTTATAATTCATGGAACAAAAAATAAAAAAATATACAAAAGGTTTCTAATCCTTTATATAAGGGCTAGACATACAAGGAGGCAAGACAAGGAAATAAGTTGTTTTGATTAATATAACATCCCATATTCATTGTATGTAATGACAGCAGTGCTATGAGCACCCAAAAATGGAAAATAGGCCCAGAAATATTTATATGCGATTACATTAATTTAAAACAGAGAATGACCAATATGGCATGTAATTCAAGCTGGTTCCTCGGCCCAAGGGGCAATTATCTCTTCTTTGCCTTGTGTTTCTTTTCTACCCTCACTCAGTAGCTAAGGAGCATAGACACAGATACCTATATCATATAAAACACAATATAGACATGAGGATATGGCAATTTTCGGAAAATGTAGGATACTATATGGTGGGGACACGACAAAATATCTGTAATGTTTATATATGTTTTAACCATATAAGATATAAAACTAAAAGCCTTGTAAAAGTGAAAACGACACATATAAAAAACACTTGAGAAAAATAATTCAACCAATTCCAGGCATCTAATCCAAAAATCTTGTCTCTTAAAATCATACAAGATAGTAAATCGTTTGATATTTTTACAAACTGGCCTCTCCTTAAAAATTTGTTCTTGATCCTTGAAGTGTCTTAAGCTGTCCAATTTTTGGACCCATGTTTCTTCTAAGTGTCTTTGATGTGTCCAGTGGAACGAAAATAAAAAATAGGACATGGCTTGATGCATGTCTGGCATGTTGTCCAAGCATGTCTGATGAGTGTTGTGTTTGACATGGACACTCGAACCTTCTAGAAGTATCTGCTTCATAGCTGAGTAGTTTTTCATGCAGATTTTTTTTTTCCTTTTTTTTTTTTTTTGAAGGGGTTCCATATGGAGCTAAGGATAAATTTTCTTTTAGTTTACATTGCTTTGTTGCTGCTCTGCATCTTAAAGAAATGCCTTTAATCTTTCAGCCTCCAGATTTTACTTCTAAATTTCTTTCTTTCTTTCTTTCTTTCTTTCAAGGGTGTCCCTTAAAATAAAGTAGTAAGCTGTTTGATACTGCGGTCTCTCATAAATTACAAATTATTCTGTTACTTTTTGTAATGGTTTTTCTTTTCGTTTCTTCATAGGTTACCACTTATTATTGCTGCTTTGGTTGATGGTGACTTCCTGAAAGAGGACTGTGGGTATCATGAAGTGGAAAAATGGAAATAATCAATCAATCCTTTGAGATGTTTAGTCACTGAAACTTTGACAAGCCACACATGACATGAATTGTATTCTAATAATATAGTAAATAATAAAGCAATTTTCCTAATCTAGTAGTATCAATTCATTAACTTTTTCAAAGCTTCTATTGCTGGTTAACCATTGTTTATTCCATAAATCTCTGGGATGATGAATCCTAATAAAACTTTTTTGAGGGATGCTATCTGTCTAGGTGCAGTATTTGAGTTGGCTATTTGTGGTGAAAGTGGAACTTTATGGAACCTTTTCATCTCTTTTCAACAAATTATGAGCAAGTAATTGCCAGTCACATCTGAAAGAAGGATTTCAGTAATCTGTCACTGTCATTTCTCTTTATTCAAGGGCATTTGACTCTGTTCCTTACAACTTCTCAGACATTTTCCCCCTTCTTTTCATTCATTTTTTTTTTCCTGGTAATTTGGCTGTTTAGGATGCATCTTGACGTTATTTAAGGTTGTAAAATATGTTGAGTGTAGTTGTAGTTATACTCTATGAAATGCATTTGTTTTTTAAAGTAAGTACCTACACTGCATTAATTTTGAACTTCATGCAATAAAATTAACCAATCAGATTGACTTTTTTCTGTTGAGTGTGTCTATTCAAGTCAATTTTCTCATATTTTGTCTCTTTGATGTCAAATCTCAGATAGAAGCCATTGTTCAAGATGCTGCAGCTAAGGGTAGCATATCTAATATTGAAGCTCTCAATACATGCTTGGAAAATCAGGTTTGATGGTCTCTGCTAAATAGTCAACAATCTTCCATGGGTAAATACTTTCTGTTATCGAGTGTTATACTACTTTTCATCCATGTATGTAATCAAAAAAATTAACCGTTTTAGTTGTCTTGTCAGGTGAAACTTTTAGCTTGTTTGGTATTTCTCGTGATATTTAAATGAGAGTAATTAGGCTAAGAAGCACAGACATGGACACATATATTGTTTTGGACAAGACATGAACATGGGGATACCGGAATTTCCAAAAAAATGTAGGACAACATGGTAGGTACTTATCAAATTATCTATAATTATATATTTTTTCAATTCTATATGATATAAATCTAAAAATAATGGAAAAAAGAGCATGTAAAAAAACTTTTAAGAAAAATAAATGTTCAACCAATTCAAAGCATCAGATCCAATATCTTTTTCCTCAATTTAGAAATCAGGCAAATCTTGCATTTTCAAAACATATGGGTAGTACATAATTTGATATCACTGCAAGTTGAACTCGCCTTAAGTTATTCTTGATCCTTGATGTTTCCAAAGTTTCCAATTTTACACACGTTTTTTGAGTGTCTTCAATGTATCCAATGAACAAAAATTAAATTATAAGTGGGGCACAGATTGATGTATGTCTGATACAGTGTCCAGGTGTGTCCAATGAGTGTTGTGTCTGACACAAGCACCTCTGCCTTCCAGAAGTGTTTGTGCTTCATAGTTGCTGGTTCTGTTACTCAGGAAAATCTACAGGTTGTGCATAGAATTTCTCATATTGTCATTGAAGTCAAAATATTACCCCCTCCAAATGTGGTAGTTTTGTTACCCTTCCGAGTCTTATAAATTTTCACCACTGCTTCAAAACTTGCCTGCTTTTGGAGGTTTTCATTGTGGATATGGATTTTATGGCGCTAATATGTTTGCTTATTGTAATATTGATATTTACATGATTATTTCCTCATACAACTATCCATTCTAGTCCTACATTGTAGCAATCAAGTGCTTCCAATATATTCAGAGCTTGTGATATTGTTGAAAATGCATGCTGTTTTCTAATTAGTCTTTTATAGGTTCATGGAACTTATTTCATGGAAGACTACATACTTAAAATGCAGATTAATTTTTCCCTCAAGACAAGGGAGGGACTTTGGACAGATTTCTTAATCTGAGAGTATGAAAATATATAATCATCTGTACGAGTTTAGTGAAGCTTTGATGGAAAAAAACTCCATAGTAATTCTGATTTATAGATATAGTATGAAAGTGGTGCATCGGATACACTTGAAAGTCTCCTTAACGCACATGCTGGTCTTTCAGCCTTTTCAGTTTGAAGATGCCTACTTGTTCCCTGATGTTCCTTCTGGTTGATCTTCAGGTCACAACTGGTGTAGGCTCTCAACCGCAAAATGCACTTTCCCAGATTCCTACTACTTTCAAGAACTTCTCAATGTCTCAGAAGGAGAAAACTCTTGAGGAACTTGTGCAAGACCAGTGGCTATGTTTCACCCCAGATGGTAATATTGGATTAGGTCTTAGATCTTTCCTGGATCTGCGCAGTTGGTTTCATAGTAATGACATTCCTGCATGTGAGGTTTGCAACGAGGCTGGAATTAAGGTAGCCTTTTCATCAATATCACTTTTCTACGTTGAAAAAAATATTTTTATCTTTCAAGAAGTTAATTAATTGTGAATATTTTTTCCCATGCATCTTTGTTTGAGAAGTCTAGAAACAATTTGAAGACCTGAACTGTTTATGAAGTGGAATCATTTTTTTGAGTTGCACCTCTTGCTTCCTGTGGATTCACAGGATTGGCCATCATGTTGCTTGTGTGTGACAACAATTGTCTGATCTAGGAAAGACTCCTGGCAATGATAGCTGTGTCAAGTTGCTTATATGGGAGCTATGCAGAAGTTAGCATACTCGTGTAGTTTGGCAATGAAACATAATGAGTATTCCTCTAGGAGTGGTAGTAAGAATATTCCACTTTATATTTTATATAATTACTAGAAATTGGCTTAACTTCTTGCCTAAATTGTTTTTTTTTTTTTTTTTTTTTTTTTTCCTTTCAAATTTCATTGCTTTCAATATGCATGTATAAGTTTTAATCCTCCAAGGTATGGACTGAAAAGTTCAGATTTTCATCAGTTGTTTGATTTTATTTTTGAACTAGAGCCTAATAGTTGCCATTAAAATTATGATAATTGCCTTGTGAGATCTGCTGCTTTCAATCTGATATGTCCTGTTATGATTATTTTGAAGAACTTGTGCGAGACCAGTGGCTATGTTTCACCCCAGATGGTAATATTGGATTAGGTTTTAGATCTTTCCTTGATCTGCACAGTTGGTTAAATGGTAATGACATTCATGCATGTGAGATTTGCAACGAGGCTGGAATTAAGGTAGTCTTTTCACCAATATCACTTTTCTACATTGAAAAAAATATTTTGGTCTTTCAAGAAAATTAATTGTGAATATTTTTTCCATTCATCTTTGTTTGAGAAGTCTAGAAACAATTTGAAGAACTGAACTGTTTATCAAGTAGAAGCATTTTCTTGAGTTGCATCTCTTGCTTCCTATGGATTCACAGGATTGGCCATCATGTTGCTTGTGTGTGACAACAATTATCTGATCTAGGAAAAACTCCTAGCAATGATGGCTGTGTCAAGTTGCTTATTTGGGAGCTATGTGGAAGTTAGCATACTCGTGTAGTTTGGCAATGAAATATAATGACTATTCCCCTGGGAGTAGTAGTAAGAATATTCCATTTTATATTTTATATAATTACTAGAAATTGGCTTAGCTTCTTGCCTAAATTTTCATCAACCAATTGATTTCATTTTTGAACTAGAGCTTAATAGTTGCCATTAAAATTATGATAATTACCTTTGTATCTCAAGAGCCTCAAAAAGGTGGTTGGATTCTAAAAATTGCTTCCATAAGTTTGAAGTGATTAATATAATTCTTTTGCATGCTCTATTCCCCCCCCCCCCCCCCCCACCCCCCCAAAAAAAAAAAAAGGCACTGGTGAGATCTGCTCTTTCAATCTGATATGTCCTGTTATGATTATTTTGGACAGGCGGACTTGTGCAAGAATGAAGATTGTACGATTCGAATGCATCAATATTGCGCGAAAAAGAAATTTGGTCAAGCTAAGGTATTGAGTCGGAGTCTGAATTTTTGTTCTACATGTGCAATCAACAAATTATCTCGTGGAATTAAACTAATTGTAAAATCCATGAATTGCAGGTTGAAAGAGTTTGTCCAGGTTGTCACACTCCATGGCTTCCTCTTCCAAAAATAGAATCTCTTGATGTAGATGATGAGATAAACGATACAAACAGGCCCTCTCAAAGTGGGCCATCTGAAAGTCAGCCCCCTCCTGGACCCTCGGTGAGAAAGAGGCTCAGAATATGCAGAGCCACAGATTCTGGTGACCTTGTACCTAATTCCTCTCAGGCTTCTACTTCTGATTTGAGGAGAACAACTAGAAGTTCTGCTCGGATGAGATAAATGTCAGGTAGAGATGCTCGATGTTCAGTACAAGCTAAAATGTGATGTTTATTTTGGTGTAATGACTTAGGATTGGAAGTATCCATAGATACCTTACGGAACTATGTTCGGACTGCAGGAGGATGCTGTTGGGCTATTTGGGTAGAATTTAATTGTCAAAGTTTTGCTTTTGGGCATATAACTCTTGTTATTATCTACTAAAAATGGATCGTTAGGACTCTTGAAGAGCAGGGAGAAATCCATTATGCATGTGTATTTAAGGCATGGAATTTGTGTTCATAGGGGGTATTTAATGCATTTCATTTTTGTTTCCTTTCTGGTAAATTAGAGGCCTAATGCCGAGGAAGAGTTAGGATTCATATTATTAATTTCTAAATGAATTTTATAAGCGTTTTACCAGTTACTCTTAATCTTAGCTTCACATTTTGCAAATTTTTGCATTTATACATCTGTTGAAAGTTTTTAATTTCAACATTGAACTGTACATGAGCCTCAAATAATTCCATAATTTTCAAGTGTTATTCGTACTATTGTAATCTGTTTCCTCCATTTGAGAAACTCCAAGTGAAATTATTCAATTTTAGACGTCCTTTTCGCTATATAGCTATACTTCTAGCCTTATTTTGAACATGAGTGCAAAAGCACATAAAGCTAACAAAATATGTTGAAATGAATAACAAGCTCGAAAGCTGAAGTCCTCATCCCCCGACATCAATGCCCATTACCCGATTGTTGAAGCCTCGCCAACAAGAGATGCAGTGGGTCATTGTGATTTTCAGTTGGAGCCGTGTACTCGAGTCGGACAATTACGGAGATGCTTCACTTTGTTCTGCTTCACTTTGTTGACATCGTGTAGTGTTCTTCGTCTTCTACAGAGGTACAGGGCAAGGTAGCCTGTCTACCCCCTTTTGCATTCAATTGCTATGATTTGCGATGGATATGGTAAAACTTTATTTTAATCTGAAGCACTAGGGATTTAAAGTGTTAGTTTTTAAGAGGTTAAGTGTAAGTGTTTTTGGCTTCTCAGTAAAGTGATCAAGGTGTAAGTTGTAATTTTTATAGAAAACAACCCTAGATATAATGTAGTGATTTGCCTGGTATTGTATATGTTGCAGATGTAAAATCGGCCCTGCTTTCCGGCCTTCGACGAATTTTTGCACTCGAGCAGGGTTTGAGCCCGAGCCCAATCCCTATTTATATATTTTATTTTAATATTTTTGCACAAAGACACGTTAGTTTAATATTTGAAATTATAATTATAGGGTTTATATGAACTAGAAAAAGGAAATTAAAGTTTTATATATATATATATGTATATATTGGTTGATTAAAGTATGGGATGGTAATGATAATAATTTATATACCATCAAAAGAATTAAAACTTTTGCATATTCAAACAACCAAACAGACCGTCAAATTTTTTTTTTTTTCTTAAAAAATAGTTCAATCATATGATTGTGAATGATGTCAACCACAAACAGAGGAAGGTAGCACTTCCTCCCAAACGTTTTTGCCGTGGTTTGTTTAGGAGATTAGTTGGCAGTTTGTTATTAGTGATTTCGGACAGTCTCGCTGTCTTCTTTCACTTTTGTTTCACTCAAGGATTATGAAACTTTATTGACTGGGACATTCAATCATTTGATTTTTCCTCATTAGTATTATATTAATTATTTATTTATTTTAAATAAATGTTTGTGGATGTAAATGTAATCATCTGGCATCCTCGTTGTGGTCTCAACAAAGGCAACGTTTTGCCAGGTGGCTCAAGCTAACTGCAAAGCTGATCATCTTTCGGCTGATTCATGTTTTAAGCAGAACAGGGACCAGTTTGAATGAATTTCAACCGAGTAACAGAGATTGTGATTAGTGGGTTATGTGGTGACGTGACTTGAAAGGAATTACTTCAATTTGGCTTTGTACACGTCATCTATTATGAGAATTTGTTCTCGCAGATGTCAATTAGCGTGAAATCTGTAATTTACCTCCAATATTAAATATAAATATACAAATTTTAAGTGACTCAAAAAAATTTTTGGTTGTATTTTTTTGTAGTAGAAAGTTATTTGTTGAAATATAATTTGTGAAATAATTTTTTAAAATAGTATTTTAAAATAAAAATTTGAGAAGGGAAAAATATTTGTACTAAATTTTGTATCGTTGATTTCATTAAAATTAATAGATGAGATTAATTAGTATTTTAGAAAGAAAAATAATAATAAAATAATATAATAGAAGATAGCAATTATAATTAATTTTGTTTATTAATTTTGATTAAATTAATAGTGTAAAATTTGGTATGAGTATTTTATATTTATAATGATATTAATCGATCAATTCTTAGAAAAACTTACAATAATATTACCAATTAGTATATGAATTTTTGTATTATCTTTCATATAAATATGATAATTTAATCTTGAATAAATTATTCTAAAATGTAAATGGATGTTCTTAATTTAATTAATAAACACTTTTTTCTTTTAATATGTCAACCAGTAAAGTAAACAAAAGTAGAAAAGCGTGAAATTTCTCTTCCCCTCGAGGATTCAGAAAACATCACCCTCCCCCTCTCTTTTACAAATAGTTTGTCCCCCTACCGTAAGCACTTGTAGGACTATCAAAATTGAAGGGTAAACTGGTAAAATTATCACATAACGATGAGAGGAAGTGAAACCCTAATGTCAGAAATAACCCACCAACGCCGGCTACAACAAAAACCAGCAACAGGCAACCAGTCCTTGCTATAGCCACATAATGCCGTGTAATCGGAGGATAACTTCAACATGCATACGTGCACTAACAAAATTCGAGTCGAGTTTCTGAGTGATAACAAAAAATGTATCAGCGTATTTTACAGAATGATATAATTACAAGAATAGTGATTAAGATTGTAGTTGAGTAATCATTATGGGTGATAAAAAAATTATAGGGTTTCTAATTGTTATGAATTTTTTTAAAAATTCTTTTTATAATTATTTAAATTATTATTATGATAATAAAATATTATAAAACAAAAATTTTAGATGTTAAGATTTTGGGTCTAAATCAACCAGTTTATTTGCTCTAGGCCAAGGCCGGCCCTGCACACATCCAAAGACGTGAAAGTGAAACCGCCGCGACGGCTGAACCCAAATCCGTTCCCTTCGGCTGTTGCGGCCCCCATATACCTGCAACGATAGAGACCCAAATGGAAAATTCTAGAGAGAATAAGGAGACCAACAACCCCATCCTTTCCCCCTTTATTTTAGGATGATTTTACTGTTTTGGCCTTCATATTTATGTAAGAGTTGAAAAGCTCGACGGGGTAAGTGAGAGGATTCACGCAACAAAAAACTGTATCTAAAGCCTAAAAAATATTGGAATTCCAGTACATTTTTCTTAATATTTACCAAATAATATATTAATTTTCTCATGTGTTAATTTAGGCTTGGTATATAATCATGAATATACTATAAGAATGCACTATAAAAATCGATAAAAAAAATGTGTCAGAATCATGAAATAAATAAGTTTAAGATAATGTATTTTTATTCTAAAATTAAATAATCTGACTTGAAAAATAATACTAATATGAAAAAATCATATATTAATATGTTATTAAATATAATATGGTGTAATGATATTTATATAAAAGACAAGGATATAAGATGAAGTCCAAAAGTGCATTTTAAATTTGCTCATAATAAACCTATTTAATAAAGCTGAAAATTATGTGTTTAAATGTTGAATAAATAATTTTTATTTCATTATCAGTTATTATGTATTTTACTTAAAATTGAAACATATTTTTAGATTTAAATAAATGAGTACTGAATGTTGCTAAATACACTTAAGTTTAACTTTAAATATTTTTAGTTTTAAATGCTAAATATATAGAGACCTTAATACTCCAAAATGCATTTCTAAAAGTCATAATATATACCTGTGGTAGAATTACTTCTATTTCCTTTTTACCAACACCAAAAAGTTGTATAAATATATGTATTCCAAAAGCACTTCCAGAAGTTCCGTCAAATATGCCATTAAATATAAGAAAACTGTCACTGCGCTACCGGCAAATTTATATAAATATTAGTATTTTATTTTTTTTTTGAAAGAGGTTGTTATAGAATTATCAAAATAACTGAAATACTCTTCACATTGAGAAATTACCCAATTTCTCTTGTAAAATTGTGCCTTAAAAACTTGATTTATCAACAAGTAAATAGTAAAAAAAAAATATTTTATTTTGATTTTTTTATGAAAATTGAATAAGCTATCCAATTCATCGTTAGACTAACCAGTTCATCTGAACTACAAAGTATATTTTATGTAAAAAATTTAAACTATTATAATTTTTAATACGTAACTTTATTTTTTGATAATTTTTTTATTTTACGTTTTTTTTTATTCTACAGCAAACTATTTTGATTAAAGAAAATATTAATATTTATATAAATTTCCCCCAACCCCGCCTGGTCAAAGAATAATCATGCAATTTCCACCGTTTGGTTATCTTTTTTCCCCCAAATTTCTTTTATATTAGATATTGGGTTTTAAATTTAAAAATAAATAAATAAAATTAAATAACTTCAATTGTTGTCATGTCTCACATAGTTCCAAAATATGCAATAACATGTCACAGCTCGGAGTATCAGAGCTTTCTTATTTTAAACTCTTGTCCATTTCCCTGTTCTAGAGAGTTTAAATAACTTGATTTTTATTACACACATCAGAGTTTTTATGTTATAATATTAAAATTAAAACTTTTTTAAATATGCGTATATTATATTAAAATTAGTTTTTTTTTTTTTTTTTTTTTTTTTTTTTTTTTACATTTGTCATCTCAAGATTTAGGATTTAAGCTCCAAACTTTGAGTTTAGGAGTTATGGTTTTAGGATTAAGGGTTAAGTGTGTAAGGGATTACGAGATTTTAGGAGGTTATGAGTTTAGAGTTTAAGGGCTCTCCAAATTACTTTTGGCTGTTTGCATCTTATATATTTAAAAAAAAAATACACAA